TTTATTCCAAGAGGTTTGTCCCTTATACAATCGTCTTATCCCTTTTTAATTGTTAGCGAGTAAACGCGCGAAACAACTAGTAACACGATATGTAAAGGAATCTTGTTTTCTTTGTGTTTCTCAAGGTGAAACCCTAGATCTGGGTTTCGAGTGTGAAAAAATCTAAACCTACTTATACTCGTCTGTGATCTCTGGTAAGGCATAACATTTTGGTGGTCATATTTTAGGACTATTATTCTGATTTGCATCTTTCTTAAGCCTAACTCTGTATTTCTTGTTTCGAACTTGATATTTCTTGAAGTCTTTATTGGTGACAATAGTGTTTAATTCAGTATCTGATATTGTGTCACTTATTCTTGTGTAATCTTGGTATTTGAGTTATTATCATTTATGTTCTCGAGTTGAGTCTAGACATGAGAACTTGAGTCTCATGGAATCTTGGTGAACCTGGGTATTGGTTTGGTATTAACGTGTTGTGATAACATATACATTACTCTTTTTCTATTGATGCATGTGATTTTACTATTTTTCATAACTTGAAAGTTGTCGCACTTGTATTTGTGATTAATCACATTTCTTGTTATGTGGCATTTCTGTAGTGATCTTGAAATTCCTCTAATTGTAGTTACTGTTAAATTCCCTTTCAAAGTTTTTTTCTTAAAATGTTAAACTAATTTTTTTGTTTAAAAAGGGGGAACGGTGAGATGCAATGACAACTATCACCTTTTAACTTGGTATTTTAATGGGAAAATGGATTTTCCTGTTTGACAACAAAATATTAGATGTGTTTTAGTTCAATAAAACGTTTCTAAAGCAACCATTGCAGAATTTCTTAAAACCATGACAAATGATCAGAAAAATGAAACTGATGAACTAGTTTATACTTCTATTATTTTGCATTTGCCTGATCAAGTTTTAAGAAAGTAGGTAAACAAAATACTACTAAGGAACTGTGGGATGAGCTAGAAGAACTTTACCTAGTTAAGTCATTTCCTAATAAGTTGTTTCCATTAGAAAGCATTTTTAGTTTTAAGATTGATTCCTCCAAGAAGTTTGATGATAACCTAGATATCTTCAATAAGTTAGTCCAGGACATTACTAACACATGGGATAAGGTATCTAGGAATACAAGACAATTGTCCTCCTAAATGCAATTCAAGAAACTTATAAGGATGCCAAAACTGTCATAAAATATGGCAAAGACACCCTTACACCTGATATTGTCATCAATTCCTTAAGGAGCAAATAACTGGAACTAAGATCTGAAAAACATGGGAGTATGTCTGAGATTCTCTTTGCCAGCCTCAGAATAGGCAAAATTAGAATCAAGAAGGTCAAAGTAGTTAAGGAAATAGTAATAAGATAAAAAATAAAGAGAGGGGTAGATCAAAGTCAAAGGCTAGAAATAATAAATGTTGTGGGTATGGAAAAATAGATCACTTTATAAAAGACTGTTATAAAAAGAAGAATGAGATAAAAGAAAAGAATGTTGATGAAGAAAATGTAGTGGAGCCTTTAGAATCTAACACTGTGGATGTATATATTATCACTGAACCTTGTACTGACATGAACAATGCAAACTTTGCAGATAACTGTGATCAAAACCAAGAGTGGATCTTGGACTCATGCTGCACTTTTCATATGACATCTAGGAAACATTGGTTAGAAAATTTTAAAGTCCTGAATGAGCGTGAAGTAGTTATGAGAAACAATGTAGCCTGTAAAGTTGTTGGGAATTGGGAATGTAACCTTAAAATTTAAGAATTAATATATCTACACTCTTGAAAGAGTTAGATAAGTTCCTGACCTGAATAGGAACCTTATTTCTGGGGGGATCTTGATAACATAGGTCTACATGGTAGACTTGGAAATGGTTTATTTAAGGTGATGAAAGGATCACTTGTCATTTTCAAGAGCTTAAGAGAAATGGGATATATGTCACTAAAGCTGATGCAGTTATTAATCAAGCTGTTGAAGCTTCTAGTGTTGAATCTAATTCTACCCTAAAATGGCATAAAAGATTAGCCTGAGTGAAAAGGGTCTTTAAATTCTCTACAAGAAGGTGGTGTTTGATAAAGACTGGGTTCAAAATTCCATTTTGAGAGGACTGCACCTCAGGAAAACAACATAGGCTACACTTCAATATTGGAAAGCATAAATTCACTTCTGCCT